TTTCATCGTTGCTTTCAATTGTACAATTACCAAACAAGAAAGAAACATATGATGAAAAAAGAGACACGTGCACATATGCGAAAAAGCAAAAAAAATCGAAAAATTCTCAGAAAAACAACTACTTATAGGCTTACACCTTTATGGAAGCACAGTGCTAGAATTGGCTTTGGATGTAGAATCTGGAAAAAACATAGTGACAGCTGAAAAGTTGATGCTGGAAGAAAAATGACAGAAATGATTTTTGTGTCGGTTTATGCGCTTTGTGACACCTTCACAGTAATTTGCCATTTTCTCCCTGAAAATTAGGTCACATCGAAAAAGTAAGGTCATATTCGTGATCATCAGTTCCTGGTGACTCAGATTACGTGTCTTGAAACGGAAAAAAAACTTTTGGAGCTTTTGCATTAGGGGCATCTATGTATGTGGAAACAGAAATTTACTAATTAGAAGGTATGTATAGAGATTCATTTCTCAACTCTGTCTAAAAATCAAAAAATATGGCGCCGGACAACTATTAATAATGAAAAGGTTCGAAGTCCAAGGTACATTTTTCTTCACTTGTGAAACTCATACCGCCCAATTTGATCGGTTGTTTAAAAATAGAACGTGAAATGGTGCACATTCAGTACCCACGAGAGATATTTCCCGTTTTCAGAATATCTCTATGTTACGTAGTTGTCTAGATCATACGACTCACTTTTTGCAGAAACGATGGCTAAAGAAAAAAAATAAAAATCCCTGAACAAATACAAAATGTCTATCGACATTAAAGTCCGGAAAGAATCAATTTCTGGATCGTTTGTATAGGTTACTTCTAAATGTGCCTATAGGGAGGAAACTTTAGTATATAAAATGACATGCACACTCGTAAATATAGTGAAATGAACTGTGGTTGCGCGTGAACATCATAACATGGTGTGCGGTCACGCGTAAAAAATAATTTCCACTTGTGAACCCGTGTGAAATGATAGAAAGTTCACACGTGACCACACATTTGATGTTGCAGCTGTACGACCCCAACGTCGTGATACTTTGACAAAATTTTCCCATGAATACAGATTCCTATTGAATTTATACAGACACACGGGTTTATATAAATAATATTATTCTTAACAAGCAGCAGAAAATACATCAAGTCAAAACCTTGTAGAAATGACGAGGAATACAAAGAGAACAGAACAAATTTACATTTACACTTTGTGTATAGAACTTATTTATAACATACAAATTTTGGAGGCACAATTACGTGTTCTGTTCTGTTCTGTTTAGTATATCTATATAAGGATTGTTTTCAGTTACTGTTAAGAATAATATCATAATATCACAATTTATTCATAATCCATGGTGGTGGTTAGATGTTATATTGTTTTCCTATTTAGTCCCTGCTTGTCAGATAATAAAGACATTACAGTGGTCGACTTGATGAGAAGAAACATACTCTGGAATGAAGATGATAGTAATTGTCAGAGAATTTAGAATTTTTTCTATTAAATCCTATATAAGATAAATCATCGTTAAAACTTTTCTTTACTAAATTTGAAGCAAATTTTTGTGGGCTGATAAAATAGTTTTATGTGGAAATTAACTGTTCGATTTTGAAATTGATCACGTAGAAAAAATCAAATTTAACGTATTTGAAAAATGATTCAGACAAACTGACATCATTAAACACAGAGATGTTCACAAGCTTTGCCAAAATAGGTTTGGCTTCTAATATGAAATATCCATATAATATTGAAAGTGTTTAATATAGTAACTTAACTAATTTTTTATCAGAGTGCTCTTGTTCATCTATCCAAAGAAACGTGATATATTTTATATCAACAAATTTTATTTTTTCAACACATCTTTAGATCGTAGATGAATGTGATCTACACGGAATTTTAGAAAAATGAAATTAGTTATTCAACAGAGGATATTTGAATCTATCATGAATCTAATTCGAATTCATTACTTCATGAGACTGAACTTAGTTTTAGTGAAAATCGGTGAAAATTGAGAAATAATCTCCTTATTACAGATGACCTAGAACTTTTTATTGTAAAAATTCCAACTCCTCTGATGTTTATTCGAATGCAAAGAGAAGATGTATGCATATATATCACACACAAAAAGTTTAGAGTTGATAACAAAATTTTGAACATTCTAAAATATGATATATGACATATCTGGTCACAAAAACTACATGAAACTGTTTATGCCTCTTCAGTAATTTGCTAAAAAGAAACAACTCTCTCTCTCTCTCTCTCTGTTTTATCCTACAATATTCTTGTTCTGTATAATTACATAGAACAAACGTCTTTCAACAAAATGAGAAGTTTCATATGTCTGCATGAATCTTAATAATTGCATTATAAAATTTTCCTAGATATTCATCGTTTCTCCAAAATTACAGAAATAACCATTGCATTACTAAGGTATATATCGAAGTGAAGCACTTGTGTAAAAGAGTAGTTAAACAGTCTTTTTACTCTAAGTATGTTTCAACATTTGATAACTCAATATGAATTTTCATTTATTCTATATCTATAGAATGAATTGCACAAGAGGATAGATGACAAAAAAGAAATCGAATATTAAGTTAATTATTGTAATATCCGTAAATTCTTGAACTTAAATTCAGTTAAAAATAGCTACGTTTATTAATTATGAAATAATTAACAATGACGAGAAAAAAAAAAAGAATCAGAAAAAGCGTTATTCTCTCCGCTCGAGTAATCGGTCTATTGATGATACATGCTTTGGTCTGTTATATCCATATCATTTTAATCATGAATAGTAGGTGGTTTCAATGTAGCTATTTTAGGCCCACTAAAATTATTTTTCTGTGCCAATCGTCCTAATGCATGAACGCAAAGCTAAGAAAACGAAAACATATTTTATTAATAAAGAAAAATAAAATTATGTATTAAAAATAAAATAGAACTTACCGCCACTTGTTGTAGATTTTGTTGATCGAATAGATCAACAGCTTGAAATACTTCGCTTGGATCAAGACCATAGGCACGTGCAGCAGTTTGAAATAGACCAATATTTTCACGTAATTTAATTGGGCCACCAGTTGTGTGCATTTTCGTAACAGATCCTGGTTTAAGAACATTCATCAATCTAATGAAAACATTTTTTTAATTTTAAGTAGAATGAAATGAAGAAAAAGTAAATTACTTGCACAAAATAATACCATCCTTAAGTGCTTCACCAAAAGACGATCCGGTTGGAAATTTTTCTCCTACAACAGCTTCAATCCAATCTTGAGCTTGTTTCTCAATTTCTGGATCACGTTTTTGAGATATCTATTTAAAAACAAAAGAAGAAGTTTATTTCTACAAAAAAATTATCGCCTCTATATCAACTCACTTTCCATTGAACTTCACGATCTAAAGCCATTTGTATGTTGTCTAATCTGTGTAATTTATTTTTATACAAGAAAGAATTGTACTACTTTATATGAAAAAACTTATGATTATCATTTTGCGTGGGGTTTGTATTATCTCTTAATTCGATGCACGTAGGTGTTGTATTTGACTATATTTAGAATTATTCTTCTCTTCGAGAATAGTTTATGCAAGGTTATCTTTGTAGAGGAGTTAGTATTTTTTTTCTTAGACCACTTTCTTGCTGACAAGAAAGATACACTGTGTGCAGATTTGTTGTTGTCTATAACCAAACTGTGGTCTAATATTTTTTTTTTTTGTTTGTTTCTAGAATAAAAAAAATTATCTCCTTGAAAGCAAACAATCATAATTGTATTCTGACATGGACATGACAGATCTTTTTAGTTAGTCGAAGAAAAGTTTCTCATTACTATATATAAACTATTAGTAACATCAATTATACTTATGTACAGCGTTATCGTCAACTTAATATTTTTGGAGACATAAATTTCATCCCTGAAATGATGATGGTGAAGATTTTGTGAAATTACGTACTACTAAATCTACAGAAATCGAGTCAAATGAGAGTAATGAATGACTATTGATTTCTAACCGCAATCTTTTGATGGTCACCCTATCTTTCTGTTGGTTCTATTTTCTATTTTTCTAAGAGAGTATGTGTGACTATAATTTTCAAGTAACTTTTGAGTGAAAAATGCTGGACACCTGCGTTTTTCATAATGTAAAGTGTAAGGTCTGAGAACATCTTTTCTGTGCCAAACGTTTTTCACAAACTAAAGTTTGACTTCCAGATATAATAAAGATAAAATTGGATACATCTTCAGACTCTGAAGTAATTTAGATCGTTTGCGACTGAATTATGAATGTTTAAGCACCTCATCCCAAGATCAGAAACTTATCTCAGTCCATGTAGATCTTATCTGAACCAAACTTTCAGGGAATGCTGACCACGTCAAAATGTGATAATAAACGTTTTTTCTGACGCGACTAGCAACTGTTCGCGAGAGAACATCACAGCAAAAACTAAAAATAGGTATCTACCACGTGCAAGAATTCTCATTCCAGGTAAATGACAGAGAGCTCAGACTTTTTTTATTTTGCAATAAACACCTATGGCTAGGAGTGGACAGAGCCCTATGTTTTAATTTCTCATTTACGCCTTCTGGTGGTTTAAAGAACTTTAAAATTCGAAAGATTCTTAGAAGGTTGCCTTAGAAATCATCATTTCTATAAAAGTGGAAACTTAATTTAAAAATCGGACTCTGTCAAGTCCAGGATATAGGTGTTATCTACAAATAAAAAGAAACCTATCTTTCTTCGATATATCGTTATCGAGAATTCCTGCACGTAGCGAAAGCTCTGAAGCTAAAAAACAGACTTGAGAAGAACGCAAATTTTGATTCTGTTAAGGGCATCCCCCTCTCTTTTTGGACTTTCCGTAGAAATGCTGTGAAATAAAAACTAAAAGTCGCTAGGGCTTCATATTTTCAGAACTGATTGGAAACTCAATGGAGCACTTTTTCGTTTTTGTGTCAAGTTTTCAACTATTACCGTTCAGCAGTTTTTCATTGTGTCACATAACGACACCCTTAAATTTCATCCGATCGACTTCAAAATTTCACCAAAGGTACTCAAGACACTATTGCATTGGATCTACAGAAAATGCCTGCAGAACACTCCTTTAGTCATTTTTCTGCCTTAATGAAAAACTATATGATGTTCAAAACTATGCTGTTGGATAACCCATGAAATTCTCTATAAAGTGAGCTGGTCAGAATATCTAGACAGGTGGAATCAGCCATTAAAGATATGGAAATGAAATGTTTGGGTGTTATATATGCCATACAGTGAGTCATAATCACAAGAACTCCTTTGCTTTTGATTTTTCAGCAAAAGCTGCAACAAATCTGAATACTGTTTTGAATTGCCCAAAGATTTTTCTATGAGATGTGGTGCATATCGCTATTTTATGAGAAAACTTGATAATAGGGTATCTGGAAAATCTGACCGCTAGAAAATCAAGTATTTGGTGTAAACCATATAGCCTGATAGAGCAGAGAATTCTGAGCAAAATAAGAGTATCTCCAGGCTGTCTACGACACTTTTTCACCGGAATATTTTGATAATTTTTATACACTTTGCAGCCATTCGTATATCGACTAAGGATGTGCGGAAACCGGTAAATCCGTTTACCGTTACCGCGGTAATCTCGCTTTTCGGTAAATTCATCTTGCCGTTACCGCGGTAAATTTCGTACGGTAAGAACTCTTTTACCGTTACCGATTTTTTGTCTCGGTAAAAAACTATTACCGTTCATTTTTCCGGTAAATTTATTTTACCGTTGTCTCGTTTCAATAAATGTTGTTTGCTTCAGAAAGGACCGTATATTATATAATCGGCCTAGAGGTAGGGAGTTAGCGGAAATACAGATTTTGATTTTCTTAAGTAAGGAGAAGATCAAATATATTTAAAAAACTACCTATATCATATTTGAATGACTCTAATGTTTGTGTTTCTAAATGTTCTTCAGACAAATGAATAAAAGTAATCTGAGTCATGAACAACACTTCAAATTTCGACGCTACATATTCTTTTTCTATTCTAAAATATCGTCTATTAGAATTAATTAA